GACATCATGGATTTTTCTTCTTCTTTTTCATCTCACCAATACATGTATGATGTCTTCCCAAGTTTTTGCGGTCAAGATGTTCGCAGAACATTTCTCAGCCACTTTCTTGAAGGGTTGAAAAGCAAAGGAATTAACACGTTCAAAGATAATGGGATCATGAGGAGCGAGTCTATTAACTCGGAGCTCATAAGAGCTATTAAGGAATCAAGGATTGCGGTCGTGATCCTCTCTAAGAACTACGCCTCTTCGAGCTGGTGTCTGAGCGAGCTGCAATTGATCATGGAGTGCAGGGTTACTTTAGGACAGACTGTGATGACAATCTTCTACGATGTGGATCCCTCTGATGTAAGAAAACAGACCAGAGATTTCGGGAAGGTCTTTGAGGAAACATGTGACATGAAGACAGAGGAAGAGAAGCAGAGATGGAGACAAGCATTGACTCAAGTTGCGGTTATTGCTGGAGAACATTCTGCTTCATGGTATTTTGTTCCAACTTCCATTATACTGAATCAATTTCACCAGTTTTCGAGTCAGTACGGTTATGACTTCATCTGTAACTGGTGTTTTGTAGGGCCAGCGAAGCGGAGATGATCTTGAAAATTGTTGCGGATGTTTCTAACGAGTTGCCATCAACGGATTTTGATCGGTTAGTTGGAATTGAAGCTCATGTAGCAAAGATGAAATCGATGATGTGCTTAGAATCCGATGAGGTGAAGATTGTGGGGATTTGGGGTCCTGCTGGTATTGGCAAAACCACCATAGCTAGAGCCTTATACAGAAAAGTGTCGTGCAACTTCCAGCTTAAGTATTATAAGGAGAATGTTGAAGGAAAGTATAAAAAGATCCAACTAGATGATAATTACTTGCAAAAGCATTTGGAAAACGAGTTACTCTCAGAAATTTTGGATCATAGGGACATGAAGATACCTGACTTACAAGAAGCACAACTTAGGCTAAAGCACCAGAGAGTCCTTCTCATTCTTGATGATGTATGTAGTGACGAGCTAAAAGCTTTGGGAAATCTAATTCAAGGTCTTAGATTCGGAAGCAAGGTGGTTGTGACGAGTGAAGATGTATTCAAATTGAAACCTAACGGGATCAATCAMATATACAAAGTGGTTTTCCCATCGAGGGAAGAGGCTCTGCAAATCTTCTCATACTCCGCGTTTGGACAAAAGTCACCACCAAGAAATTACTTGGAGCAAGCTGTTGAAGTAGCTAAACTTGTTGCTCCTTTTCCACTTGGTCTCAAGCTCTTAGGTTCGTCTTTGCGTGGGAAGACCAAAGATGAGTGGACAACAATACTGCCTAGGCTCAGAACYTATCTTGATGAGACAAAGTATATAGAGAAAATTATTAGACTTACCTACGACGGTTTATCTGCTAGACAAAAAGATACACTTCACGGGTTAGTAAGTTCTATTCATTGCGGTAGGGACGCGAACAACAGATTCACGTTTCTGGAGAGTGTCTGGGACGTGGAAGATGACATACAAACACTGGCTGATATGGCTCTCATCTCTAAATCTGGGGATGGAGAAATCATGGTGCACTTTTTGGTACGTTATATGGTAAGCAAGTCTGATCCAGGCTTCCTGGGGCGCGATTGAGTATTTTAAAAAATATCAAAAGACATGTTTAATCAGTTCTTAAACAGCCCAAATTTAAGTTAACTTACGAGGTTTGTATAGCTATTTGGGTTCATACTTAATTTGCGCTTACACCTAATACTTGCATTTGTGTCTGGACTTTGTATTGTTAGGTTTCATGGGATATATTCCCACTATGTACTTTAGCTTAATTGAAGTTAAATGTCTAAGCCTACTTTAAAAACTCGTACGCAACCAACACGTACTAAAACTGAAAGTCGAAATA